TGAATAGTAAAGGGTTCTTTTTTAAATTAGTATTTTGATCTATTGATAAAAATACTGACCTATTCAAAATCTAAGTAAATCTGACCTGTTCAAAAGGGGAATTCACGTTCGTTTGAGGATTGTCGTTTTCCTCTTCCTCTTCGCAACTGTTGTCATTCACATCATCTGGACCCAACGGAAGGGGTTGATAATCGTGTAAGACATTAGTTACGAGTTGATCGTCATCTTCAGATTCACCGGAATCCTCTCCAATGAAGATATTTTCGTTAACCGATAAACTTTTATTGAGGTCTTCTGGAGGATCCGGAAGCCCGTTCTCGTGTAAACCCATTTAAAAAAATTTAAAATATGTATACCTATGTGTATATTTATTAACTTATAACTATGGTTATGTTTATGTGAAGTAGTGAAGTTAAGAAAGAGCAGATGTCTCTGGTAGAAACTTATCAAATACTCAACAGAAATCTAGAAAGTGAATGGGTAATTTTATCTTGTTTTGGATCTTATTTTGCTATTGACATATAGATGTCACCACAAGTATATTTGGTTCATTTTTGAAATACTGAAGGTACAAACTTTAACAGTTTTAAAATTATTTTTTCTGTATCTTAACGATTTTCTTCAGATGGAGTGTACTTGGAAAGGTGGTTATTAGGAATTAGTTAACCATATTTAAATACTACCTTTACTTTTTAGTCAATTAAGGGACACCCTTGAGATTGTTATTTATCTTTTACATTTTATGGGGAATATAAGGTAATAAATGTGTTCATGAGATATTTGGTAGAGTTTTTGTGCTCGAATATGCGTTTATTACGTGTATAATGAACAGCTTTAACAGTAAGTCGGTATCACAAAGTATAAAACGCGAGCACAATTTTAATTAATTTTCAGCCGTAGGGAGATGAGCTAAGGGATGATTTTGAATCACTGGGACATTCTTTCATTCTATGTCGTACATATATATATATATAGATGTATCTAATACTTGCAGTCTGGAACCGTTTAATAAGTCTAATTCGCTAAAGCTTAAAATAAAACACATTTAACAAGTAAAGCCCCGAACTATTTCCCAAAAGCGACGGAATATCTAAAGAAGATTGCCATGATATTGCAGTTTAGTTTGTGAAGTCTGCGAGTGAAACTATTACTCGGTTTTTCTGTGTGAAATTTCAAAGTTCAACTTCGAGGCGTCGCGGCGGCAGCTGTACAACTCAAAATTACTTCCGACCAATTTGTCTCAAGAGGTCGGTCGCATTCATTCAAAGACATGAATA